CGTGTGGTTGGCGCGGTGGTGGCTCAGCAAACCCCAACTCTCTCTAAAGCAGCGCAAACGCTCTGCTGGGTTAGCAGGACCTTGCTTTCCAGGAACTGTCTTCCTCGGTATCACCCTTTAAGAACAAGCTGAAGAAACCAGTTCCCTCATTTGATGTGGAAGGGTTGACAGCATTATGTTGCCTGTTTGTTGTGTTGCTTTATCGCAGGAAAGTGAAACCACCCGTTGTGAAGTGCTAATAGAATAACAGGAGCAGCAATAAAAAGTGTCACTGCATCCTGGTACAGGTAGAAAAGTACATCCATGTGCACTCATCCTTGGAAAAACAGAAAAGCTAAATTCAGGCATGCGCTGAGCTGGGCTGACCTGCGGGAACCTTTAGTTGGACTTGCACTTACAATCTGATCTTTTGGCACAGCGAAGAGGCTACATCCATAAAGATCTATAAATAAGATAAACCCAGATAATCACGTAACCGCAGCTACTGTACCATTTGACTCTGCTGCTGGTGAGAGGAATCTTTGTTTCCCGGTTTTGCAAACACCCTATCGCTGAGCAAAATGACCATGGAAATCCATGGGAGTTTTGCTCGGATAAGGACCGGAGTTGAGTATAACCTTGGGAGAGTAGGGTGGTAAAGACTGGGCTAGTTAAGGGGCTCTGGCTAAGGGACAAGAAACGGTGTTCAGCATAGCAAAAGGTTAACAGCAGTGGTGCTGCAAGGTTCTTTGCTGGGTCTGGTGCTGCTTAATGAACTGGGAAAAGGAACGAGCAATGATACAGCAAAATTTTCAGATGACATTAAGGGTTTTTTTTTATCTTAAGTGAAACCCAGCAAAGACCAGACAGAACTTAAATCACAGACATAACCCCTGAGGAATGAGTGAAAAATTAAGGCAGAGATTGGGAAATAAATCTCAATATTGAAAATTTGAAGCACTTGGAGGTAAGAAGGACTGAGTATGCACTTTTCTGGGTTTTAAATGTGTTAACTCAGGAGCGTCATGAGAGAAGGAGCAATGAAAAGCTCTGCTCAGTGTGAAACTGCAGGCAGAAATTATGTTAGATTTCAGTGGGAACTGAACAGAGAATAACAAAGAAAATATTATAATGTTTTATAGCTCTGTAGCTATAAAACAGATCAGTTATACAGATCAGTGGGTGTACCCAAAATACCATAGGCACTGCTGGTCATCTAGAAAAGGATAATACAGAACTAGACCAATAAAAATTATTGGTGCATAGCAAAGCTTTTATAGCACTCATCGGATGGAAAACTCTGGAGTGTGTTAGGGAAATGTAATAGTCTATATAAAACTATGACCAGCATAGAGAACCTTTATCAGAAGCCTCTGTTTTACTTGACAGCCCAGAAACAAGAGGAGATGTAATGAAATCAGAATTGATGATAGGAATTGCTTAAGGAATAAGTAAACCGTCACTGCCCTTAGAAGTCATGGAGGCCAAAAGCCCAGGAGTATCTCTTTGCATTACAGGATTTACACAGTTATAGTATTTAAACTTTAACCCATTGTGAAGAATGCGTTAAGCCTCTTGTTTTGTACTGAAAGGAATTTTTAACTATGGGAAACTTGAAAAAAAGAACAAAAGAGTTTGTCTGAATTGTCTAGGACAGACCACTGTTAGGGCATCCCACCAAAGGGACTTTCTGATCATGGGAGCTGATTGACATTGGCAAGTCCTAGGTAAAGAACTTTATTCTACATCATTTCAAACTTCTCACCCTGTGCAACAGTGTCTCCAGGTCTTGATGTCTCCATCATCTACAGCAATTGTGTCCCAACATTTCTTTGATTCGGGCTATGACTTTTTTCAGGCTACAAGTGTTTCTGAGACCAGTAGGATGATACAGACTGGTTTCTTGTGGCTCTGTGTCTCAGCTGACTTCCAGTGGGCATGTCCTGGTCCCTGGAGACCCACAAGCTGATGCTGTCGCCTCTTCTGAGGGGAATGAGTACATGGTCTGGCTGCACTCGGCCACTTGGGTGCATGAAGTCTTAGCAGTTCTGCTCCTCTCTCGAAATGGTTGGTAACAGCCTGCTGGTGCAGAAGTTATCAGGAGAATTCCCAAACTTCATTTTCCATTCTTAGGGAAACCTATAAAAACCTTCTGCAAATGAAAACCACAGCATTGCCCGAGTTATTTACTTGTGGGTTTGTTCCTCGTGTTTTTTACAACACAGTTTTCTCGGTTGATATTGGAACAAGCCGTGTTTCTCCTTTAACTGGAGGGGGCTAAGGAATAACAGGGAAGCTGTCAGCTGTAAATAGCCAAATGATTAGATAAATCCCAGAAGAAACTGTTAATTTCCTGAGTGTGACCATATGCCGAATTTTGTCATTTTCCCCCCTCCTTATCCCTCCCTGCAGCTGGAGTGCAACAGTAAGTGCGCATAATTTTAAAGCCTGTTTCGGGGAAGTTTATCCGTCACATAGGAAGGTGTTTCACGTGTCTGGAACATAGGTTATAGAACATAGTGTGTGTGTATATATATATATATATGCATATACATAGGCAGTGCTAAAGATTACTGGAGATTAAAGGACTATCAGAAAAAAACAAAACAAAACATGATTGATTGTTTTTATTTCTACTCAAGCAGTGCTAGAAAGTCTCCCAGAATGCTCCCTGGGAGCCTTTGCAGAGCAAACTCTTGGTGCTGCAAACATCGCAGACTTCATATACTGTGAGCCAGATCTCAACCTCATACCAGGTTACCACCATATATATTTCCAGGGACTGTGATTTTACCCTAGATGAGACTTTGGCTCCAGCAGTGGCCAACTATGTGTAAAGTTAAGCCTGTAGGTGAAGTGGCTGAGGAGAAGTGTTTACATTGGGAAGTCTCTCTTCTACCACCTCTGTGAGATTTCATCACTGATTTCAGTTTCATGTATTTCTTGTGAAACCTTATTTCAGCTACCTGTGGGGGAAGACTGTAATACCACAGCAGCATTTAAAAGGTACCACTTACTTGTTGATGTGTAAGACAGAAATTATGTCGTAGTGCCTGACTCTGAGGAGCCAGGAGTGCTTGTGGAAGGTGAAGTTGTACTTATTGCTAGCCAGTCCTGTTAGTAATAGCAAAACACTGCCCACACAAGTGCTTGTTTTTCAGGCTTAGTTTAAAGTCTCCAGCACGTGGGGAAGCGTCATGCACTATGCAAGTCCTTGGGAAACTTTGCAAGAAGCTCTTTGTGGTGTAGAGCCCTCTAAAGGATGAGGGCTCCTAAGAAGGAGAGCCCAAATTAAAAATTTGCAATTAAAAATGTTCTTGCTTTATCTCGGCCAAAGTTTAATTCAGACTGTTTTAATTAAATAAACGTGCTAGCAGAAACAGCAGCGGTATTTTAGTCGTTACATATGCCCCTTTTCTCTTTACGTCCTTCACGGCCGTGATGTGAAAGCAGCCTCCTTACATGAGGCGTAACGCTTTGTACAGCTCTGAAACCAAAAGCGGTGCTTGCTCTGCTTTGCTTTACCGGCCCTTCTCTTCGCGCGTGTGTTGGTGTTAAGTTCAACACGCCAGAAATGCTGCTACAGTGTGGACTAGCACAAAAATATATTCTAAACTATCTTGGATTTATTAGATAATTGTCTTGTTTATCTTGCTTTGCCTTTCTTCTTTCTGTATTCAGTTTCATCCGAGACATATGCTGGATATAAATTGAGTAAGGGGCCGTTCCAGGCCCCATATTCCACTCTGATACATCTAAAGGATGGGGTCCCGAAGAGAAGGGAGGCGATGACCCTGCCCGGGGCACAAAACCCGCGTGGCAGGGCTCGGCCGGAGGGTCGGTCAGCTGTCGGAGGGAGATGTCATTTTGGGGAAGAATAGCGAGGCCATGTGCCTTGTTAGCCCCAGCTGTGTCCCCGCCGAGCCCTGCGCTGCCCGAGGGGATTCGCTGCCTGAGGCACCGGGCAGGGGTTTCCCGGGGTGGCCCTCAGTGGGTGACAGTGTCGTTGCACCAGCCAGGTGACTGCTCGAGGGGCTCCAGCGAGGACGCGCGTGGAAACGAGAGTGGGGCGAACGCGCGAATGAAGCAGAAAAGCTGCCGGACGCTGCTCTCGCTCTCGGATCCTGCTACCTTAAGCCAGCCCTGAAGCCAACAGGTGCTCTCGGTCCTTTCTCAGTTCTCGTCTTGTTTCGTGCGCGAGCTTCCAGCAACGTCGGCTTGGTGCGCGCCTTATAAAGTAGTTTGGTTTGAGAGCTAAACAGTAATGTCGGGGCCCAGGGACTTTGGGTTCATTAACATATTTTGCAAGAGGCAAAAATAATGGTTGTTGCTTTCTTCCCAACCACAGCCTTTTACAGCATATTTATCCCTGCTGCAGTACTGCTGCAAAGTGATATGGGGGATGTTTTTATTCCTTAGCAGCAGCAGCAGCATCTCCTACGTAAAGACAGTTTGAGATATTTAAAATACGAAAACAGAGATTACATAAAATTGCAGCTCATGAATCTGAGATTTCTTAAGGACTTCCTAGAAGCTCTGGATTCGCCAGTGTAATAGCAGCTACCTGCTGTAATTTCCTCCCATCCTCCCTTCCTCACTCTCCCATCATTTGTTTTAATGTGTATTAAATAGCCTTCTATTTAGAAAATAGTATTGACATAATCTATAAACTTGATTTTTGGCTAAATTAATAAATACTATTACTAAATACTTTGGCTAAATTAAAAATTTAAAAATATCTTTTTTACATAGACAATTGAATTTCATACTTCACTTGCATTTGCTTAAATACTGTACAGTTTATTGGCCTTGTATGGTTTTGGTCTTCCTAGTTTGCAAATGTTCCCAAGTTAGTATGTAACTTTTGGAAACTGATGCGTTCTAATTCAATGGAGCCTAAAGTTTTTCAGTTTGCTAATATATGTAATTGTAAATGCAATGAATTCAGTAACCATACATCTTTTATGCTATTTTCTGCATGCGGTTTTTCCCTAATAGTAATTTCCAAAATTCCTTTTTTTTTTTTTTGACACATGGTTGCATTCCAGTGTTTAATCTCTATTCACACTTTGAGCTAAGACCTTTTTCCTACACTAGCCAGTAATTATCAGCTCAGTGAGGGTAGATCAGCAGGCTGACCTAGATGCAGCTGGTGCTGATGCCCCTACCTCTGTCTTTATATGAAGTTTAGAGGGCTTACTTTGGACTGTATTTAGTCTGGCCCCTTGAACAAAACATCCCCATCGTGCGTGTGTTTTACAGTTGTCCAGAGGATTCGAGAGTAAAGGAGCACGTTTGCTGCACCCTTGGAGCGTAGGTCTCTCTTCATTTTATTTCAGGAGGAACCCGGTTCTTGCGTGCTCTGTGGGCTGAATGAGTGCACAGTTGGTGGAGAGATGATTGGAAAATTTACTTTCAAACCTCATTACGGATCTCAACCAGACTGGCTGGTTAGACACAGCCCATAGGTTGTACAAGTATTCCTGGTCGCTTCAGTGGGAATGACTCATATGTGTATGGGTTACTTAGTGTAATAGCTGCATGGCCTGACTCTTTTTCTCTCTTCTTTTTTTTTTTCCCTCCCCAAGAATCCTAAACAAGGAATATTCCTATAATTTACCCTTAATTATACTTCATTATAAATTAAATCAATAATAAACAAGCATGACATCAGTAAAGGTATTAATGAGATAATGGCTTCTCTTCTGACAGGCAAGTCTTCAATTTGCACGGTACAGATGTGAAATGACACCATCAGTATGTACCTTGGGCTGCGCAGCGATGTAAACTGCACACAGGTTTTCCTCTTTCAGCCAGTTCACCTTGGCTTGGTGGACTGATGGAAACCGTGAATCCTAATTCTGTTGCTTCTGCACTGAAGTCTAGGGGAATCCTGCAAAAGGAGCAGCTATTTAAGTGTGGCCCTGTGTTCACGCAGCCACCCCATGAATCTCAGATGAGTGACCCTTATTAGACCCCAAATAGCTGGCCTTTAGGAAGTCATTTGGGCCAAGTACCTGAAACCATAAGTGGTTAGACTCAGGAGCAGGAGCAACTGCGATTTCTACTGCAAATTTGGAAAGAGCTGCCAGTTAGAAAGTTATATTCTTTCCCTTTTTGTTTTTTCCATTTGTTCTTTCTGATGACCAGGGTGACATCTGGAAAAAAAAGAAGTTTAGCTTTTTCCTAAACAATATTCTTTCTTCCAGGACTCTCTGCCTTGCCTGGTGCTGTTCTTACTGAAAGTAATAACATAATTACCATTAAATTAAAAGGCATCGAGAGGAGGCTCTCATCCCCTGCAGGAACATACAGCAAAGTGAAGCTTCTTATGCCAGCACTTAACCTCCCAATTTCAATTGCCACCTTGGGATGCTGGAGCAGGTCCTCCCTGTTTGAGGAAGGGAGCAGGCTCTCCGTTTTTTAGATGCACAAAGAGGGATGGCTGCTTTCTTACTTGTTTGTTTTAATTACTTTTAAGTGCCTATTCTGATCTCTTTCTTCAGTTTTACAGTACTGAAGTCCATGGTATGAAACTCAGTACCTCCTGAGAGAAGGAGCTTTAATTCTCACTCACAATAAGAATAGTAATAAGAATACACTTTAATGAAGTCAGGGACTGGGTTTATCTAGCATTTCCAACTGCCTTGCAGCCAAAGCATCTTTTTTGCAAACTACCGAGTTTGGGGTTTTTAAGGTGCTGGCTTTTTGCATTTACCTTTGATTTCACTAATGATTGACATGTTTTCCTTCAAAGCGGTAGGTTTGCCAGTTTAGTAAGTAGGACCATCACAGTTTCAGTTCTCATTTCCACTTCCCCGGGTCTTTAACAGCTTCCTCTGTTTTGTGTGCACGCATCGCTTTAGAAGAGGAGGTTAAGCTGTCCTGGTTTTGTAGGTGTAATCGTAACAGCTCAGACTTAGGGGATGCCAACGCAAGGTTTCAGCGTCTACAGCAGAATCACAAGTACCTACCGAGGAGAATAAGCTGTGATGAACTGGCGGCATCTACACCCTTGCCACTGGTTTTGTGGCCTGTATCGAGAGCAAGGTTATGTCTTTAACATAAGTAAAAGATTATCCCAGCATTCATAATTGTGCGCTGTCGTACAAAATCTGAACCACATATCGTTTTCCTATATTTTGATGTTCCAGAGGTGACATGCTCCCTTATATATATTTTTAATATACAAAAGGAGGACTTCATCTTGCTACTCAAAAAGATTTGATCTGTCCCATTTGGGTTTTCGCTCCCTGGGTTGGACAGATGACGTAGGTCCAAGCCCCAGGCACTGCAGTAACACAGCCGAGGGCCGGCTGGTGCTGCCTGCAGCCCGTACGGTGAGGTTTCTGCTCCTTATACGGTCAAAATTGTTTGGGCCTCATTGTGTTTGCGTGTATGTTGCTGTGTTTTAAAGCTCGTCCAAAGGATGCTGTGTTCCTAAATAGAAGGGGTCAGGACGCAGTCTGATTTCTATATGAAATCTTTGGGAGCAGAAAAAAAATTAAGTGTGGGAAAGAAGGTCAATTCAGTCAAAAAAAAAAATCTGAGATGTTTTAAAGTACAGTTTTCTTGATAGTACCCTATATTTTCATTTATCTGCAAAATTACACTAGAGAAAAGCAAAATGTGTATTTATAACCAAAATCAGAGGCAAGAATATGAAAAAGAAACCACAGCCTTGCAAGGCTGGAGTTGTGCTCTTCAGGGAGATGAAGAAAACTTCCATTTTCCTGGAGGTAAAAGGCCTGTTTACTGAAATATAGCTCATGCCAATGCTTGCAGCTCTTTGGGGAACTTCTTTGGTGAAGGAAAGACATTGGATTCAACTCTCCAATGGAGACAGAGTGATTCTTAGGGCTGGGAAAGCTCCCATGTCCACTGAGAGGATTTGGGAATATTCAGTTTCAGTGGGGTCATTGTTTCAGGGATTGGGTTGTTTAAAATGATGCGAGTTTCACTTTTCAAATTTGGTTGTAATAAATACTTTGAAGTCAAATACTGTGGATTATTTGTCTTTAGAAACCGACCAGATTTACTAATTCTAAAACCTGGTATAGATAAGAAGGAAGTTTAAGATATGAGCAATAACATTATAATTTTTCTTTGCAGGCCACTGAGTACATGAAAGCCATTGCTTAGTTCTTGAAGTATAAACATCAGATTATAAACTAGATCCCATTAATTTGGTGATGACAGATGTTTTCCTTTATTGTGGATTTGTGTTTCAGAATTCTCAGTTTACAATCAATTTATTAATCTAATCTAACATTAGTATTCTGAAGACAATGTTAAAAAGTTAATTGAGCTTAAATCTAGTTCAATTCCTGAGTCTGCAGACAGCCCTAAGCAATAGGTCTGGTCCTGTTCATCCCAGAGGGTTGTATTAGCTCTGACAGGTAAAGACTGTACTTTTGGTATGATTACCTTAGCCAAAATACCTAGTTAATATACAGGTAACACAATAGTATGCTCCTTAGGTTCAAAAGCCACTGCTACTCTCCAACCACTTTCTGAAACCTTGACATTTTCTTGCACCTCCGCCTTTACTGGGTGAACTTTTATTTTACCTCTGGAAAGTGTCTATAAATGTGAAGCGTAGTGAAAAAGTGCATACATTAAAAAGGAAAACAGGTCTCTTCCCAATTTACTCCAGCATATGTTGTTATGTTTTCCTTTTTAAAAATATGAATAATTTGTCAAAACGTCACCAGTGTGTTGGCTGTAAACCGGCCTGAATATTTGGCCGTACCCTGAGGAGGGGTAGATAGGGCCCGGACCATAAATTCTTTTGAAAGAATTCTGCTGGGTTTGGTCTGCAGAGACCATTTGCTTCCTCACAGTCTTCTGTTTGTGGTTAATTAATGTATTTGCCACTTCTGAGGATGTCATTGCTGCAAGGGTGAATTCTGTTACCATGCTTACTCTGTGCCTTTTCAGACAGTGCGTGGCTCAGGCGTGATCCAGCTCACTGGACAGTAACCCTTGAGCTTCTCCATCCACACAAATATCCGACTCCTGCAGCTGTCCCAGGGAGACTGTGGGGCAGGATGCCCCTACAGCAGAAATCTGAATACACTGAGAATGTATAGCGCTATAGTGGGATTGTGAGAAAACCTGACTGTCCTTTCTGAGCATCTAGGGAGGGCTGTAGTGGTGGAGCAAAGCCTCGCTGCTGAGCCCAGAGTGGTTGTTTAGGAATAAGAGGACTTGGGCTTACTTAAAATTTGACTTACGCTGGCTCAGCTAACTGAAGTTAAAACATTGCTGGATAAACACTGGAGCTTTTATACGTGGATGCGTTTTTGGTAGGAGTAACACTGTAATTCTAACATAACTATGCTGCTGAGGCTGAAGAAGTTCGACACGTCTTCCTTTGGTCAGGACTGTGCTCAGAGGCAAGGTCTGTCCCTCGTTTCCTACTAAAGCACAAGTGGAGCAAGACGAATACAGCGAGAAACATGACTGTCCATCCAGTTAGACCAAGGGGGAATGGTTGAGAGGACTACCCGGAGGGTTGTAGGTGGGCACGTTCATGGAGGTACTGGACAGGGGTGGTCCAGCCGGGGGGTGGGGGGGCTTTGTCAAGGGAGCTAACTCCGTGGCAGGGTCTTCTCCACCTGATGGAAGTGTGAAATAGCCTCCAGCCATCGTTGGTATTTCAAGTGTCAGTTACAAATCTGAAGTGAGGTGACAGTGCAGCTAGCCCTGGTGTACATTCTGCTTGAATCTTATGTAAGTTCTGTTTTCCACAGAAAATTTGGTCTTTATAATATCAAATGCAATTTTAAAGAAAACAATTTAAAAATCAATAGTTAATTTTAAATATTCTCTTCCTGGCTCTTTTTCTTGATTTTGTTTTTTTCCAGGTTTGTTCAAAGTTAGTATAGTCATAATTTTCCTCTCACCCAGTAGTTTAATGTCTTGTACCCCTGAGCTTGGAGGACCTTTATAAGAGTTTTAGCTCTGGAGCTTCAGTCATGAACAGATTAAACAAATGGGAATGATAAAGCTTATCCTGTTCAGCCATAAATCTTTAAATCTGACTTTAGAGAGCATGTGCCACTCATGATATAATGTGGAATTGGGACAGTTCATAATGCCCAGAAAAGAATGACCAGGTTATTCCCATGGGCACGGGTTTTATTTTGTGTCTGTGGTCCTGTTACTGAAATGTGTGTGCACACAACTGAAACCCACTTTCTTCCTCATCCAACCCTTTAGGCATGTGCATGGTGCCAGGCTCAGATGGGACAGCATTTTCATCTGGAGCAGTTCGGTATTTGGCATAAAGATTCATGAAAGTTTTCAAGGGACAATTTCATTTTTAGGAAGTGCTGTTTGTTAAAACGGCACATCACACAGAGATGCGGAGGTACTTGGTTAAGTAGGTTTACTGTAGTCTAAATAAAGCAAGGAATCAGTTCAGGTAGTGGCAAAGTATTAGGCACTTTTTATTTTAATTAGAGGTGGTAAAATGAAGGTGTTACCAGTTTTGGGAGACAGATAAGCATCTAGTCTGTTTTTAATTATTAAAGCAATTGTAAGAAATGTAACAAGTATACATTAATTTAGTTCGACATAATTAGTCAATGTTGGGATAAAACTGCTGTTCCTATGACTTCTGGAGCTGCATGTTGCAATCTGTATCACTTCATTAATATGGTATCCTAGTGAGCATGTTTCCTATTTTGCTCCCACGGGTGAGATTTAGAGGTATGATGGAGCACTGTTTTGACTTCTCACAGGATGAGCTGGATGAACTTCGGGCTGAAATGGAAGAAATGCGTGACAGCTATTTGGAAGAAGATGTTTACCAGCTGCAGGAGCTCCGGCGAGAGCTGGACCGGGCAAACAAGAATTGCCGCATTCTCCAGTATCGTCTCAGGAAAGCGGAACAGAAAAGCTTGAAAGTTGCACAAACAGGCCATGTGGATGGAGAGCTCATTAGGAGCCTGGAACAAGATTTGAAGGTGGGTGAGAGGTTCATATGCAGAGTGAAAGAGAGCAGACCGGGATGTGTCTCCCTGCAATGGAAGGGAGGGTGACACATGAAGCAGGCAGTAGTTCTCCAAATGTCAGGACCAATTTCCTCCTTCTGTGATGGAGAACAAATATGCAGTTTATCATCATAAAAAGATGTGTTAGGAAGCAAAAAACCATGTACATAGATTCAAAATGAAAGAAATGCAGCCAGCTTACATTTGTGCATTTGAAAGATTTAGAGGGTCTTGTTTTACAGGTTTGACTGAGAACCTTAGCTTTGCAAAAGTGTATAACCAAAACCTGATATGCTTTTCTCAGTTCATGCCATTTCATTCCTCTTCACTTCTTCCTTATGCCAAATAACTGGAAGAAACCTAGTCAAAGTTGCATTTCTTAGGGCCTAATGAGTTACTCATGACAGGAACAGACTGTTATAATATTTTAGCAAGGCTGATAGAGAATCAAAATGCTATTCCCATGAAAACATGAATTCCTCTAAAAATTATGTTCATACTGAAACAGTTCTTATATTTTTCAGAATTGTTTGCATCAAGGCTAAGCTTTGTATAGGCATGATGTTCATCTAGCTTTACTTATTTTTGTTAATATTGCTATCTCGTAGCTGTTTTGAAAATATGTTCTGTAGAGAGGGACTGATTACCGCTAGAATTATTAAGCATTTTGTACTCAAGAATACAAAACATAAAATCTTCTGAAATTGGAATGATTGGTTCCCAGCAGTGGAAATCAGAGTGGCATATCAAGTCATGAAACTTTTCAAAATGTCAGACCTAATTTTCTCCTTTATGATAAAAAATAAATGATAACCTTATCATAATAGAAATGATACATTAGTCAGTAAAAATCTTGTACATAGATTCCAGTGAAAGAGATACTGAGGTTTTTTTGGTTTGTTTGCTGTGTTTTTGCTGACTTCTTTTAACTCAATAATTCATCATTTTGCGTGATGAATCACCTTTCGAAATGTTTTTGGAGTAAATATTTATTCTTGTTAGGCTGGACTCAGAAAACCTAAGGTAGCATATATTTCTGTGCTTTCATATCACTCTTGCCTAGTTGTGATTGCTGCTAGAGCAGCAAATTTGGGTGGATGAGACTGCTACATGGATACAGCTTTGATTGATGACCTGTCAACTTTACAGCACAATTCCTCATGTTTTGTTTTATTGATGTGATATGCTGGGACTTTGATGTACAGGCTTGGTATCTGCTTGTTTCCTCCTGCTGTTCATGACATTGCCTTAGCATAATATGGAGAGGGAGCTGGAGATGGGTAATCAAATATATCTTCATCTTGGATTTCTCTATTAGAAATTAATATTCATTTCGGTACTTGGAAGGCTTGGAATCTTTCATCAACCGTCTCATAATTGAATTAAAAATCTCTCAGCTGTTTAGGGCTGTAATGTGCTTCCTGCTGTAGGAGGCATACCGTAGCTGTTGCTCCTCAAGGATCCCCGTCATACATTTGTGCTCTTCTGACCAGGTAGCCAAAGATGTTTCTGTCAGACTGCACCATGAGCTGGAGAGCGTGGAGGAGAAACGTGTTAAAGCAGAAGACGAAAATGAAATCCTTCGACAGCAAATCATTGAGGTGGAAGTATCCAAGCAGACACTGCAAAACGAGCTGGACAAGTTAAAAGAGGTAAGAAATAGACAGGAAAGCCATGCAGAGTGGTGTTGCTGGGTTAGATGGGAAATTTGACGGACCCGTGTCTGAGACTAATTCTTACATGAAACGCTTGCTGATACTGCTTGTACAATTGCCCAAAAGGTCTCCTTTGTTATATGACCCAAATGTGTTGGTAATTTAGAAGCAATAGAGAGGTAGAGGAGCAATGCAAGGGCTTTTGTACGGGGCTTCTCACAGGGCTTCTGTCCCTTTTTAAACTGGCTCCTCAAAGCCTCTCTTCCTACTGGAGCAAAACTATCTTTGATTTGACTCCAGCTAGCTCTGACTCTCCTTTGCACAGACTGGGACGTCCGCCTATTTGAGAGTCAAATGAGGTGTGCATGACTTGTCTCTGGGAGGATGGTTCTGATAAGCAAGCCGCCGTTTTGGCTGGTGCTCTTCAGTGGTGACGGTGGGAGCCACCAGCATGAGCTAGGCATCAGGAATGTGGTCTGTAGTGTATAAATAACATTGCACGTCAGGCGCAGAAACGCTGTCTGTTGAGAACTGGGATCATTTCAGTTGGAGCTGACACATAGTCATACCGGGTGAAGCGACGATCCTTGGACGCAAGCGAGCTGAGGAGCAGGGGACAGTAAGGGAAAGCCAAATACTAAGTGTGGCTCTTTGCCGGAGCCCACATCCCGGTCTGTAGCGGTATTTCTGTTCTCTTAACAGTACAGCAGACTGGCAGCTCACAGCCTCTGCTCTAAACCAGATTGAGATAGAGCATTTAAACATAATGAGGTAAGGCATTTATCCTCTGAGCCCTGGTCAGATTTAGAGAGCTGGTGCAATTATGTGTTATTTTAATCTTTCAAACAATGCTTGCGAGTCAACTGGCACAAAGCCTGACTCAGTTTTATAAGGACAACCCCTATTTAATTTCGCTGTATGCTTGGGTTATGAGGAGACCAGTGCAAGAGTTTTGGAGCATTTTGTACCTAACAGGACAGATCATCTGCCGGTGTAAATAGCAGTGTTGCTGTGATAGTTTAGATTACTTAGGAGTCTGACAAAAGAGAAAGTCTGCATGATGTTTCAGCAGTTGTTCTTCCTTCTCAATGTTATTTGTGAATGCTGTGCTTAATGGACATGATACCGTGTTACAGGATCTGCAGTCTATATTGCATACAAAAATACCATGTCATCTGCACTATCTTGCTTGTTGTCAATTTAACACACAGGTCCACCGGATACTGGTCTAGTGTAGATCATCTACCATACTAGATGACGGTCTTTGGGATTAAGCACTTTGAGAAACTACATTGTGGGTGTGCAGTGGGAAAGACATTGGTCCAGCAATGCTGGAGTCTCAAGCTAGCTCTAACCAGCCTGAATTTACCCTGCTGCTTAGATTGCTGCAGCCTAGCAGGGCAGGGAAGCCCAACTAACTCAACTGTCTCTCTGCTGCATTGCAAGTCGAAGTGAACACACCCTTACCTTGGGAGCAGACTCTGACGCGTAAGAGGCAAAGGCTAGAGGGGAGCTAGGGAAAGGAGGAGGTGGCAGGTAACGTGATCGGATGTGTTCATGCTGATCTGGAGGCACAGTGGGGCATAAGGTGTAGTAGCAGATGTAGTCTGGTTTTTTGTACCATGAGCGGTGGTTTCTCTGGAAGTCAGAGTTTCACAAGGTCACAGTAGATGAGAAGACAGAGGTTTGGGTCCTCGGTAGGTCACACAAGAGCAGATGAGCCAAAAGTTGGAGAAACACACTGATACGTGTGCCAGATAAGTATGTGTTTGCAACGTTGATGACATTGGTGACAAAAAAAAATACTTGCCTCAAGATGTGTTCAAATAACTACCAGAAGCAATGCCCCTTTAGGAACATTTAATGCATCAAAAGCTCTACAGGAATGTATTATAGACATGCCAGTGGGAGTAGACATGCCAGTGGGAGAACGAGTTCTTTATATATTGGGAGAAAAGGGACTCAAAGTCCATGTAGCTTCTTCCCAATCCGCCCTGACTGTGCATCTTGTCTATCTAAAGGCTGACACTTAGAAGGCACGTCTTTCCTATCCAGTCTTGGCGCGTTGCCCGAGACCCAGTTAGACAGCATTCGCTCTCTGGTATAGCTCACTGTCACCATATGCTCATTTTCTGTAATATCCTTGACTATTCTCAGCCCTGTTCCTCTATCATCCTCTGATCAACAAAAAGGTTTTCTCACATCCACGTCCATGTTTATTGCTTAATTCAGTGCTAACTTCTGCTTTGTCCTGCTGTACAATTCCCTCAGGTCCAGTTTCTCACTGCCATGGATGGAATATATGTTGATTACGTTTAATGTATTTTGCATGCCAAAATGTCTTTAGGAATTGTACACATCTCTGAAAGCACTCTTTCTTTAAAGCCACCTTCGTTTTTTATCACAATGTTTTGAAGCATTCCTAACATTTACGATGTTCAGTGCTGTTATATATTCTTTCACCCCAGTACATGTTTCGATCTCCTGTGATACTTTCAACAGGATTTTTTTTGGTGTGAAATACATACAGGCTATCTCTGTCTAAATAAAATTATCTCCTTCAAAAAAGCCATGCAGTTTTAACTGAGAAATTAATTTTTTCCTCCTCCTGACCATGTAATTTCAAGTTGTTGTATTAAGTAGATAGGAGATAGGCTTTCCTCTTTTGTCACTAAATAACATTTCAGTGTGTCTCAGCTTTGCAAATAACAAAAACAAAGTTACAAGAAAGAGGAAAGGTGACAAGTCAGGTGACAAGAAGTCACCTGCCCGGTCCTTCACAGTGCTCTTATCTCCTCCTCTTACTGCTGTGTTTTAGCTAATGCGCTTCCCTCCCCAGTCCCAGATCCTTCTGGATTCCCATTTCATGACATGCTTTCAGAAACTTTTGCATAATCTATCAAAACCATATCTAAACTCTTGTTTTGTTCTGATATCTGCCAGGTTACTCCCCGCCATCAAAATACTCTGTTTTTCACTGATTATTTCTAACAGGAGCTCCCAGATGACAGGTGAGAGTCACTTACGGATTTTTAGGGTAATGCCACCTCTTTCC